TAGGAAACCATCACCGTTTGCAGTGGATGCGTTCCATTGCGACAGATGAAATTCGTGAATATTAGAGGCCACGGCCTCTGGTCCTCAAGGTGAGCTCCCTGCGGCTCTTGAACACACCGCGGAAGATGGGAGTGGCGGGGAAGTCACCAAAGCTGCTGGGAGCTGCGGGGAACTCACCACAGCTGCCAAACTCACCATGGTTCCTGACTACCATGGGGAACTTATTGTGGGGGGCCGGGAACTGGGATGAGTTCCCTTTGGCTCCCAACCCCCGTATCCTCCTCCCAGGCAGGGAAACCGCTGCAAACACGTAGAACCACGAAAAGCAATTCCACAAATTGCAAGTGTCTCCTGCATGCAAGTTTAAGAAGGAAATCCTGGCCCCATTACAGTCAATAAGATTTTTGCCACTGACTTCAATATGGTCAGGAGTTGACAATAAATGTTGTGGGAAAGAGAGTAAATTAAAATAGCTCCATGGTTAATCGCAACAAAAAGAGTTTTACATTTAAAATAAAAATGACAAACTTTGGAATCTCTGACAATTTCAGTAAGCCTTGAAAAAAATCTATGTTTAATATAATCTAAACAAAAGTTGTTTAAATAAAGTGACCAAGTACAACAAAAATATGACAAGTGTTTACTATCACTCATAGAAACAAAAACAGCTATAAAAGCGGTCATGTAAATCAGTCATAAATATACTAAAGAATTAAAGAGATGGAACGGGAAGCTAATAATCTTTTATTGAACCAACTTCTGTTAGTGAAAAACCAGTTTTCAATTCAGGAACTGAATAAGAGTTCTGTGTGGCTCAAAAGCTTCTCTCTCAACAGAAGCTGATTCAATAAAAGATATTACCTCATCCACCTTGTATCTCTAATTTCTAGGGGCTGCATATTGAATAGTGAACTTTAGTAGGTTTTATAATAAAAGAGAAATCATACCTGATATGTAAATACAACAACAATGTATTTGGGAGGGGTGATTTTTTTCATCACTTAACCTATCCTCTCGAAAACAGCAGAGTTGGCAACCCTATTAATAACGAACTCTGCAATAGATATTTCTTCTTATTCCTACTCCTATGCTTTTGCACTGCTCCAGCTCCATTCAGCAATTCTCTTCAGGATTCAAGATCCCGTAAGAATTGCACATACACTTACAAGCAATGACCTAAATCTCTGTTTTCTTTTTCTAAGGGGATAACTAAGCCGAGTTTTTTAGAGATCAAACATGGTCTTATCATATACCTCTTATTCCCTACAATTATTCTGTGAAGTCATTGATAACTACACAGAGCTTATAACCGATTCAGAATTTAAATATATAATGTTTAAAAATAGAAAACCTCCAACTCAATCACACTTGGACATACCTTTCTTCTTTGAGTTGGGCAAGCATTTCTTTTCCTCCTTGACTGTGATCCTACTACACTTTATCCGACAGAAGAAGGAACGCCGAGCACCAGAATGAAATCGAGCTGACCCAGCTTGAAAATCCATATGTACTTGCAAGCCAGCTTGTAAAAGTTTAAGAAGACAGTCAGAAAAAGATCATTGGACTATAAAACATTGTGATTTAAATCATTAATATATTATCCCAATTTCCTTACTGCCTGTTAAATTTTTGCACATACTATTTACTAAAAAAAAAACCTTAAATGCATTAAATAAGATGAACAAAACATGATTGTCAAAAAGTGGAAACTAATTAAGTATGCTAATATACCATTCAGTGCTATGCAATCTTATTTAGTAAATTAAGCGTTTAAAATCTTTCCATTTATATTTGGTATGGGGGGAAGTTGCAAAGCTGCTCATAAAAATCACTATGAAATAGTGATCAGCTGCAAGTACATAATGTTCTCCATACTAGCAAAATAAGACTTGGTTAAATTAGGATTGACACTTAGCATTTTCAGAGAAGACAGTGATTCTTGATATTGAAGCATTTTATCCCATGCTCGACTACATCAGGTCTTTTGTATTGACAAGACCTATCAAATACAAGAAAAAAAAGTAGCATGCCTGGTTAAAAAAAAAGTTCATACCAATTCTTGGTAAATGTCTAACAATGTAAACTTCAAGCATTATTACCTAAAATGAGTTCCTTTCTGATGTAATTTTCAACTTATTAGTGTACTCTAAGCAGAAGTATGCATTCAAACATGTTTTGTTTGTACAAATTATATAACTGAACTTAAAAGCAAATGGAGACATTACATTAAAAATCTGAATATATCTAAATAGACTCTTACTTTTAGCATCTATAAGCTTTTCTCTTGGTGAAGCATCTGAAGAGGATAGTTGCTCCTTCACTTTGGCAACATCTTTTGGATGCAAGTAGTCAAATAAACTTTGTCCAATCAAACTGGCCTAGTGGGAAAAATATTAATTTAGAAGCTGTGCATTATATGCTCTATTCTGCATCTCCTCACCAAGGAACTTAATTTTTTAGATGGTTTTAGAATAGGCCAGAATTTCCAGATACCTGAATTATTCTGTCTAAATTGTAACATTTATCTGTTGACTTTACTTTCAAACAAATCTTTGTTAAATTCTTAATTTTGTTTCAGTATTTTAGTCAAAATTATATGGACACACTAGAAATTAATAAAAAAACACTGTGGTAGAAATGCACTTATATCTTACCTGTTAAGTTCAATAGTGAAACTGGAAAATATTCATTCATGCTGTTTTCCTATCTTTCAGTTTTTAATTTAAGGGTTAAGGTGTTTCTTATTGCTGACTAGAGAAGAGTACGGGGGCAGACAACCTCGTTTAAACTCTAAAATGCTATGAGGAAAAATGGAAAAGTGGAGGGGGTTTAAAAGCAGATGTGGTGGCACAAAGAGCTCAAAAAACTACTCATCAGCCACTGGGCAAGGCAGCTCAGGCCAGAGATATCCAGGAAAATAGCTTGCATCTTGGCAAAAGAGAATCATTACATGCACTAGATTGGTCTTCATTCATTCTCCTTCCCCTGAACTAAAATGTCTAGATGGGTTGGTTTCCTTACTAAAGGTTGAACTTTTCTGGTCCGGGATTCTCTGGTCCAGCAACATTCATTGTCCAGCAGGACCACAGACGTTGCCGGACCAAATATATCCTAGAACAGAGTGCCCCAGGAAGCTGGGGGCAGAGAGAAGAACTGGGAGCCCAGTACCAGGGGCTGGCTGTGGAGCCTGGGGACAGGGAGCCCAGTTGGGTCTGCTGACGGACCCCTAGGAGAGCCCAGAGTCAGTCAGCAGAGAGGACCGGAATTGACCTCCCCATGTCTGACAAACTCCCTCCTTCAGACCCACTCAGGTCCTGAGGTTGCCAGACTAGGGAGATCCAACCTGTACAACACCATAAATGTCAGTGCATGAACATTCACTCTTAAAATCTTTGAAACTATGCAATTACCAAGCTAAGTTTCAATTTATTTGCACTGTTGAAGTACTGGTTTTAAAATTCAAAATAACAGTTCACCATCTGAAAGCCCAAATCTGTCAATAAAAGCTGGAAACAAGAACATCTTCAAAACATATTCTTCTTGTAGGTTAGTATATAAATTATTACCTGAAGATTAGTTATTTCCTGAAATCAGAAGTCAGTAATTAGGTCAGAAACGTTCACTTTAGTTGCAAAATCTTAAAATTTCAGAGTAGCAAACCTTTGGAATAATTGCGTTGAAGAGGAAGCTAAAGCCAAAAGACTTAAAGAAATCGTGCACAAGGAATGATATTTATAACAAAACCAAACACATTATTCAGAAACTAATTTCGTTTTAATAAAAACTGACCTGATCATAATAAAGTATCTTGCAGACTGTTTCAGAGACAAAAAGAATTTTTCCTCTGTCACATCCAACCACAAAGAGGAACCCATCCGCAGCCTATAAATATAAGAATTGGTCTTTATAAAATCATACCACACTATTGAGAATGAGTATATTAACTGATGCTGGACAGTATAATTGTGCAACTCAATACTTAGGTAAATTCAAGTTTATTAAATGAAGAAATTAAAATGATGGCAAATATTCAATCAGACCATGACATACATGCAGCAAAAAATAAAAATAGATTTTGGAAAAGGCAGCTTAGCTGTAGAAGAGATTAACTTAGAGATATTTTACAGATTCTAGCTAAAGAGTATTATTACATGCAATAGAACAGGTAAACTACGGCAAATGAAAATGTGATAAGAAAATATTGTAAGTAAAAACAGCTGCTTTCATAGGGTGATTTCCAGATCTTCCAGTGACTGACATGTATACTCTGAAAACCAAAATGAAATGTTGAAAAAGTGCAGGCATATTTCATGGAAATGAAAGAGGTTTTCTGTAAAAGAGCACACAGTTGGATATTGAGAAACATATCCACACACATCTTCCATGGCTCTTAAAGAAAAATCCTGTGCATAAAAATAAACTATTTTTAGAGTTTATAGACTGAGTCTTAGCAAGGATATCAAAGCATTGACTTGAAGGAAGGAATACGAGGAAAAGCCCTTTGCAGTCAACTAAAATTAAAGTTAAACCAGGTTTTAAAGAGGCCATTGCTTGATATACGGTTTCTTTTCACATACCCTAAGGATTAACTGTCTCAGTTCACCATCCTGCAAAAATGAAGGTTTGTACTGGACTTCTGCATAAGAACTGGTAGAGCCTGTAAAACAGAAAGTTTTATTTATAAATGTTAATCCTTTAAGTTTCCTTTACAAATAAGACTGCACTTTAATCAAATTTACACACAGAACATGCACTCAGTACTTTCTAACCATAAAAAACTGCTTTTCATACTGGAACGTACTTTCATTTTTCTTTTAATCAGTAACTCATTAAAGAGTCATACCCTCATCTCAGGAATTCCAGACTGCCGCTGAAGCAAACAAGTTCAGGAGAAACACCCCAGAACATTATACACCCCCCTCAGTTGGGCTGGGGGAGCAGGAGCCAGTGCACAGTTCAGCTGGGCTGCCAGAGGAGCCAGGAAGCCTGGTTGGGGGGGGGGGGAGAGGAAGGAGCAGGCAAGGAGTGGGGGCCAGAGCAGGGGGCTGAAATCACCTCCCCTGGTTCGGAGAAATCCCTCATCTGGGACCAGTCAGGTCTTGAGAGTGCTGGACCAGGGAAGTCCAACCTGTACCTCTAACCGAACTTCCCCCTAGAAGCCCTCTACCATCGCTCTATTCCAAAGCCCCACTGCATCTTCCCTTCCCCAAATTGGATAATACTAAATAAACTGAGAAAAGCCAAAATAACTGTCTGTAACATCACCAACTTGATTTTGCATCACTTATGTATAGAACTCTGATTTTCATTTCAGAATGATTATTCAGTACGTATTAAGAATATGACCTAAATACAAGTTGTATCTCCCTAACCTGGGGCTCTCTTGCATCTGGCAGCATCCATGGTCCGGTAGGACCACAGATGTTGCTGAACGAGAGAGCCCTGGGGCAGGAGGGCCAGCTGCTGAGAACCCCACGCACAACAAGGCTGGTGGTAGTGGGTCCAGGGCTTTAGCAGCCTGGCGGCAGTAGCAAGACCATGGTAGCGGAGCAGAGGCAGCCCAGAAACCTAGCTAGGGCCAGGGCAGCCCATGTGGGCCAGCCCAGCAATAGGGATTGTGCCATGGTAGCTCAAGGGGGGACTGCATGAGCAGAACAGCTAACCTTCGTTATGTAATTGTAATGAAATGCTATTGTGTAAGTCCCAATAAAACAGGGAATTATCAGATCAGTTTTTAATTTACCTTTTAATGACTTGAAATGTTGTACAGCCATTCGTAATACTGTAAGTTTGTCTAATTTACGTGCCATAGGATTGCACTGAGGTATCATAGCAGATAATTCTTCTATCAAGTTATTCATTTTATCTCTTCTTCGTTTTTCCGTTTGACTATGAGCTTCTCTAAGAAGAAAAGTATTTTAATCAAAGTTCAAAAAACGTACATTTTTCTCTAGATTTTGCTCTTTGCTATGCTTCAGCTTCATCAGGGGGACAGATTGTATTGTGAGAAATACGACCATACTGAAAGAATTTATATACAATGCACATATTTGACAGCTAATCTGTCACCTAATTGACCTAAAATATGCAGCAGCTACTCATGAAAAATGGTGTGAGGTCAAATTTTTATTTGGTAAGTACACCATAGATAAGACGCCTTGGCCATTCTAGTTGAAGAGAGGTCACTGCAAAAGTGTGTAGCGTTTGGCGAATATTTGATCGGAGGTCCATGTTGCCGCAGCGCATGTGCCCTCAATGGGAACCTTGCGGAGATAAGCTATTGATGTGACAACAGCCCTGGCGGAATGGGCATGTAGCAAGATAGGTGGTGATAATTGGTTATGGTGATAAACTCTGCTGCAGTCAGAAATCCAATATGGTAATCTCTGAGATGATATCTGCTGTCTTTTACTGCGTTCTGCTATAGAAATAAACAGCCTAGGTGAAGCTCTAAAAGGCCTTGTGTTCTATGGATGTCAAAAGAAAGCTCCCTGTGTACATCAAGGGTATGCATTTGTGCTTCAAAATATTGGCATGACGTTTGGAAAAGAATACAGGCAGGTGAATTGTCTGATTGATATGGAAGGATGAGTGTATTTTGGGGAGGAACTTCAGGTGGGTGTATAGAGAAACTTTATCTTTGAAGAATGGAATATATGAGGGATCTACCATTAAGGCAGCCATCTCTTCTAACACTTGTCACTATGGGTGTTTCTAGACTAAGGGGCCTTTTTTTGAAAAAACATCCCCTGCATCTAGACGGCTGCCGTGTTCTTTCGAAAGTAAATCAAAAGAATGCGGCAGTTTTTTCGACTGCGGAAAACCTTGTTTTACGAGGAAGAATGCCTTTTTTCGAAAGCGCTTTCGAAAAAAAGATGCTATGTAATGCACACTGTGCTTTTTTGAAAGAGAGCATCCAGACTGCCTGGGTGCTCTCTTTCGAAAAAGTGGCTTGCTTTTTTGAAAGTACTGGTTTTAGTCCAGACACTCTTTTTTGAAAGAGGCTTTTTCAAAAATATCTTTCGAAAGAGATTTGCAGTCTAGACGTAGCCTATATGTCTTTCGAGTTGAGGGAGTCCTATTGTGTAGAAATACGTTCTGTACTTGACTTGAGCACTGCACCTCTATCCCTGAAAGCCATCTAGTTAGCAGGCTTTTAGATGGAGTCTGAGAAATTGCAGGTGCCAAGTCTAGAGCCCTGGTTGAAATAGGAGCTTTGGATTGAATGGATTAGGGGACACAGGGCCATTCTTTTCCAGAAAGGGAACTAAGGCTGCCAGGGACAGCATTGGGTTACAAGAATGATCCTCACCTTGTCCCTCCTTATCTTGAGAATTGTTCTGTTGAGAAGGGGAATCAATAGGGAAGCATATAGTAAGTGATGGTTTCATTTGAGAATGAGGGAATCTCCAAGGGAGACCTTGCCAATGCCAGCCCTGGAGCAGTACAGGGGACAATTTTTGTTTACCTTTGTGGCAAAAAGGTCTATCAGAGGGCATCCCCTTTGCTTGAAGATTGTTGCAAGAGCTCTGCATCAGCAGTGGTATTTAAGGCACCGAGAAGATGACATGCACTTATGGCGATGCCATGAGCAAGGCACCAGTTCCACAGGGTAATAGCCTCTGTACATAAGGCATGGGAACGGGCAACACCTTGCCTGTTTATATAAAACATGCAGACAATGTTGTCAGTATATATTTGGACATGTTTGCTGGATATTGCTGGTAAAAAACGTTGGCAGGCAAACGGTTCAACTCTGAGCTCGAGGACATTTATATGGAGATCCTGTTCTACTAGTATCCATAAACCCTGAGTTGTGGACCTCTTGATGTGCACCCTCCAATCTATGAGAGAGGCATCCACCAAGGGTTCTGGTGTTTGGAAAGGGAGACCTCTACACAGGTTGTCTGTTTTTGTCCACCATAGTATTGCACTTTTGGAATGGACAGGCTGAGGTGAGGGAGTGTTGATTTGGCTTAGAGAAGGGGTCACCAACCAGTAGATCAGGATCTACTGGTACATCTTGGAGCATCTGACAGGTGATCCTGACTGGTTTGGCTGGGAGGCTATCAAGCTCTGGCACTTTAGCTGCCCTCCTACCCCTGCTCAGCTGCCCCTGCTTCCTGCTTGCTGTGCAGAGTGGGGAGACAGAGACAGGGGGGCACTGATATCTCTCTGTCCCCCTCTCCTGTACCCCATCTTCAAAAGTGAGGAGAGCGGGGCCTCAGCAAAGGGGTGGAGCAGAGGTATTTGGGTTTGAGGTAGATCCTGGACTGACTTAAATTCAAAAACAGATCTTGTGCTTAAAAAGGTTGGAGACCACTGGCTTAGAGACAGCACTGAGCCAGCCTTGAAGGCTCTACATAAAGAGACTACTGGGTTGCATGATGCCATATGGCCAAGTAGGTGGAGACAGTTGTGAGCTGTGACTTGTGGCATCAAACGCAATTTGATAACCAGGTTGTGGATTTTTAAGAATCTGTCTTGCAGCAGGGTATTGAGCTGTGCTCCGAAGAACTGTATATGAATTGTGTTGGTGTGAGCACTAATTTTGTTTAGTTTATTAACAGGCTCAGAGAGTGGAAGCATGTCATAACCAGGTAAGTGTTTCAACAAGCATCTAATTTGGATTTTGCCTCAATGGAAGCAATCATCAAGGTAAGGGAAGATAATGATGTCTTGTTTCCTCAGGTGGGAGGTGACTATGACAAGCATCTTGGACAAAACTCTCAATACCGGGGAGAGTCCAAAAGGTAGGACTGTATATTGGTAATGTTGGGTACCTAGGATGAAACAGAGAAAACACCTATGAAGCAGTATGAATCATAACATGGAAGTAGGCATCCTGTACATCGAGAGATGAAAACTAATTGTCCAGCTCCAGAGATAGAATAATGGTGGTCAACGTTACCATCTTCCATTTTTTCCCTTTTACAAATTTGTTGAGGGCTGCTTTAAGATCTAAAATTGGGTGCCACCTCCCATTCTTTTTCTGTGTGAGAAAATAGTGCAAGTAAAAACCATTCCCTTTGTATCCATGTGGGAATTCTGTAGGAGTGGGATTTTATATTTATATTTCAGGTTTAGTAATGTAGTAATGTATGACTTAATTTCATCCTACCAGACACCCTCATTGGTAGAAACGCATCTGACAGACTGCCAGTGGTCTGTACTGATGTTAAGGCAGGGACAGACCACTAGGCCCTTTAGTTAAATATACATTTCTTTGTTTTAAGGTTTAGTAAGTAAAAGACGGGATCTTGTATTGTGTCTATATTAATAAGATTAGAAGAATGTTGAAGGCCCGGGCTTTCAATGTGAACTGTTTTGATTACAAGACTTAGTAAGGTTTAATTTACAATGCTTTTTGCTTTTGCTCAATATAAAACACTGCTGTTTGTATAGCTTTGAAGGTCTCTGCAACAGACTGTTTGTGTGAATGAGGAATGTATGCATCAGAAAAAGATAAGGTGTGAAGGCCGTTGTTAAGGCCACATGGTCAAGAGAGGAGGGGGGGCGAAGAGACTCCAGGATGCCAAAGAACCATCAGTGATTAAGAAGGGGCAGACTGACGACTCGAAGGTGAAGGCTGGCACCCCAACGACAATTGATTAACACAATTGATTAACATTTGCAGGACAGGATGACCCTCTCGGGGGTGTTTTGGGATGTTAACATCAAAAGATAACACCCATTAAGGAGTGACTGATCACAAACTGACACAGCGAAATCCATAGACTTCAACAGAGAAAAGAGGATTATAAGAGCAGGGTGCTTTGCCATGGGACTTTGGGTTCGTCTTGTCACCAGCTCCAGGAGCTTCAGATCGCAACCGACAAAGCCCAGCTCCCCTCTGCGATAAGTCTGGCTGGCCACTAGATTGATCCAAAATCTGGATTGGTAACGAACATTGACTGGCAGGACTGTGTGCATGGAGTGTGTATGTGTGTGAGAGACGGAAAAGCATATGCTAACTGTTGCATTCTCAATAAATGCGGCGTACTGCCTTCTTCCCTTGAAAAGATCTCTCGTGTACTTTGTATGGACATAACACTGCTTCTATAGTGCCCTACCAGAGTAGATGATCAACCTCCTTTCTTAGGATGGCCTTGTGAGAGAGGTCCCTGAAGAGGGATGGAGACAAAGGGGATGCCGTCTAAGTGGATAGTTTGTAGCACCCATCTATCTGATGTTATGCCCTGCCAGTTGGTGTAAAAGGGTAGAAGGAGATGGTTAAAAGTCTTATAATTTATTGACAACTCTGGACCAGGTAGAATCATTTTCAGTCCCTCAACAGATGCCAAAAATTTCCTTATATTGTTGTTGTTGTGGCTTCATCTACATGCCTGCCTGCCACGACCATGTTGGCATTGTAGTTGGTGGTCCTGTCATTACTGCTGATACATGTATGCTGCAAACCTTGGTCTAGAGCAAGGTTGGTATCTATACTGTCTCCTCCTGGTTGCAGGTGTATGGATACCAAGAAAATGGAGTGTCGCCCTGGAATTCTTCATGGAGTGAAGGACATTGTTGGTTTTAGCCAAAAACAACTTCTCGCCCTCAAACGGTAAATCCTCTGCAGTTAACTGTATCTTGCGAGGAAACACTGAAAAGCTGAACCATGAGGCTCGTCTCATGACCACTGCCATTGCTGTCAAACTTGTGGTCATATCTGCAGCATCAAGAGCAGCTTGTAGAGCTATCCGTAACATTGCATGGCCCTTTGCAATGACTGCTTTCAATTGTTGTTTCTTCACCTCCGATATATCATCAATAAAGGTGTTCTATTTTGAGTATCTGTTAAAGTCATATACGCTGAGCAGCACCGCATGATTAGTGATTATGAATTGCAAGGTGGATGATATATAAACCTTCTAGCTGTACAATGCAAGTCGCTTGCTGTCTTTATCAGCCGGGATGGAGCAGAGCTGGTGCTGCTTATTTCCTCTGATGAGCCGTCTCCACCTTCACAAAATTTGGGGTGGGTGGGTAAAGAGAAATTCAGACTCCTTTGGGGAAACAGCACTTTCTATCTGCCCTCTTACAGGTAGATGGAATAGTGGGAGAGGTCTGCCAGATAGTCTTGGCAAGATCCATAATGGCAGGATTTATGGGTCGAATCTTAGCCAATGGAGTGGTTGTGCTGCATCTCTGTGACCTCCTCCACGGCGATGTTAAGGTCAGCTGCTACCCTCTTGAATATCCTGAAAGGATGTGAAGTTGTTAGCTGCAGTGGGAGGTGGAGACATTACTGCCTTGTCAGGTAAGAAGGACAAGTTCATAACAGGGGACGTATCTGGGTCCAACTCAAGGGACTGTGGCTCCACCGTCTCCTGTTGCATCCTGATGGAGACTGTGGTGGAGGAAAAGGGACAGGCTGAGTTTCCCTCTTTTTTTGTGTATGTCAATGGGCTCCAATATTGCCAATGGGAAGTGTAAGGCATAGATGGTGGCATCCATGGGCGTGGGCCCCAGGGAGGAATGTCGGTGCCAATTCAGTGCCTTAAGCTGGGATGGGTTGAAGGCACTGATATCTTAGGGCCAGGCGACAGCTGGGACAAAAATATTACTTCCTCATTGTCACTGTCATCACAAGATAATAGCTTGGGCAAAGAGGCATGTTTGGGTGCTGCTGTGACTGGTGATATGTCCATGCCGAGGAACAGAGTTTCATCTACATTTAACTGTCAGGTCTCTTGGGTGGAAGTACCTTAGTGCTGGAGTGGACGGTGCCTACTGGTGCAGAGGTGGAGGTCGTTGGTAGAGATGTGTGTTGCAGTGCCAAGGTGGTCACGGCTCTGCCGGATGTTGCTATGGTACCAATGGCCGGGGCAGCTACTTGTTGCGGTGCTGTATCAGTAGGCCTTGGTCCTGGCATTTCCGCTTTAGTTACACAATGGACCAGTGGGCCCTGAGGTAGGTGAGGCAGGCACAGTCAGGCCTGTAGGTTTGATTCAGGCTCTATGCGTCCCATGCTTGGAGACGGCCCGATTGGTTCTAGAGATGCCCACAGCATCGTAGTCGCTGAGCTATGCACCGTTTGGGTGATGGAGCCTTGGGAGTCAGAGATGAGGCACGTTTCTTGGGAGATTTTTTTCCCCTTATCTGGTCTCAGTTTGTCAGGGTGTTCTTTGCCTGGGTCAGAGGACTGAGGCTGTGCTTTTTCCATCATGAGCATTTTAAGGCGAAGGTCCCTGTCTCTGGGTATTCCCACCTTCAGCTTGGTGCAATGCTGGCAGTCCTGCTGGACATGGGCCTCGCTGAGACATCTGACACATTTTGAATGTCTGTCAGAGATGGGCATGGCATTGTTATAGGCTGAGCAGCATTTCAAGTCTGATGTTCCCAACATTGTTCACAAGGTAATCAGTAACAACAATAACAAGGGGAGAACAACTTGGAGAAAAAAAACCTTTTTTTGGCAAGGAAGATGAACTTGGATGAAGTGTGGGGTAATTGGAGAAGAAATAACGAAAATGTAACTACTTATCTACAGGATATGATGATGAGTGAAGAACGCTGCTGAGCTCCATCTTAAGCAGGGGAAGATAAGAAAGAACTGAGGGAAGGGGGGCTGTGCATGCATAATCCTATTGCACATGCATGGCCCTTCAAGGTACTGCTGTGAAGAATCCAGTCAGTGGTGCTAGAGCGCACCTGCTTTGGAACACCAGAGGGATGTCTCTCAAAGAAGAATGTATAGCAATGTAAATTATAACATGTAAGTAGCCAGACAGTTGGGGAAGTTCCCACCTCAGTTGTACAACACCTGGAGAACCCAGTAAATAGGTAGGTTATTGCAAATGGGGTAGATGGATGCAGGGGTCTGGATGGTGCAGAATGCATTCCTCAGCTGCTAAGAAATAAAGTTTTATGATTTCCAGGTAGGAGAGGAGACTAAGTTCATAGATTGTCCAACAAAGCTTCTGTAAAACAACAATGGAGGAACCAAGCCCTAAAATATTCCTCTCATGAACTGCATGCATAACAAAATTAAGAACAAAATGTGAAAATACACAAAGGACAGAATTTATATACAGATTCTCATTAACAGGGCTTGACGAATGGCGGCGAAAGCCGCTCGCCCGCCCCGCACTGTGCATGCGCAAGAGCCGCATTGCGCATGTGCGTGCTGCCGGTAAACGGGGCGCGCGGCTGAAATCTACTCACCATGGCACTTGCCTTGAGAACTGATTTTTGTGTTTAACAAGTAAAATAGGTAGCAAGGACCATACATTACAAAGAGCACTTTAAATCTAAACAGTAATTGTCAAACTAAATCAAATGTCTGATAGTTCAGAGTAAACAGTAAACATACTTTCATAGTTATTGTACAATAATTAAGATTTTGGTAGTATTAGACCACATAACAGGACTTTGCAATTAAAGTTTTTCTGAGAAGAAAGGAATGACCAGCATTTTTTTCTGTCACTTCAAAGCATGCTGATTAGTGGATTGTGGAGTTGTAATATCTGACTGTTAAGTTATAAAGTTCTTCAAGTCACAGAGCTAGATTCTCAAATTTACACAGCTGTGCTCTAGTTTAAACATGCCATAAACAAACTTTTTTTCTAAACTCATGCTGAAATTTCAAACTCCTGGTTTTACTAGGTATATATTAGTGTAAGTAAACTGAAAACATAAGTATTCGAAAACTTTTGACAAAACTATGAATTATGATTTCAGAGATTGGTAGATTCAGTCCCAGTAAATAGTAGAAAAATGTATTTCTCCAAATTACTATACCTGAAATATTTAATTTTCACATGTTCTCCATCTTCACTCCTGGAAAAACAGAATACAATTTTACATTATATATTACTTTTTAATTAAAAAAATAAAACGACGTATTGCTCATTAATGGAAAAGTTTTAAGTCTCAAAATTCTTTAGGAACCATTCCATAATGCAAGGACAAAACATAATACAGTGCATTGAATGTAACTTGGAATGTTCACAAAACTTAAATAGTATAGTCTAATATAATGGATTGCATGGCTGGTGTAGGTCCCACATTTGGCTATCATAAAATTTGTAATTTGGTGAGAAATATGCCACGGATTTTTCTTTTTAAAAGACACACATATTATTGCCAAGAAAAACAAACCGAACACAATTTAGGATGATTCCATTTAGTCAGCACAGAGCACAAATTAAACATTTTTCAAAACAAAACAGTAACATTATTGATACTAGTCTATAAAGACATAAACGAAACAAAGCCATATTGGCTTCTATCATGAGAAGCTAGGAGAAAAAGGTGAACATTCGCTAATGGAATGTAAGTGGTCAGCATACAAAAATGTTGCCAAAAAAGGATGTAAAGTGTAAAAATATCCTGTAACTGGTACATTGTCACTGATCTGAATAATTTCCCCCTAACTCCCAGTCCCAGTTTCCCTCCTCACCAAGATTTGATCTAAGTTGCATGGCTGTGCAGCTATCTAATAAACCCCATGCTAGGCTTCAGGGATGCTGTTGCAGCCAGAGGAGAGGTGTGCTCCTCTGGCCACAGCAACAAGGCTAAATTAAGAAATGGACTTTAGGGGCTGCAGCCCATAAAGCCCCTGTTTTCAGGGCCAGTGCTTCCTGGTGGGGATGGAGGGATGGCGATGATGCACTGCCATTCCTCTCTCCACCTCAGGTTGGAGCCACATCATTGTAAGCGCTGGCCAATGGGAGTGTAGGGGGCAGTGCCTGCAGATGACCATGAGGCAGCATGGAGCCAACTTGTCCCACCCATCAAACAAGAGCAGCCCCAGCACAGAGCCCCTTACAATTCCCTCACAGACCTCATTCCCCAATCCGCTGCCCTAAGCCTGCTACACCAACCTAACTCCCTCCTAGACCACACACCCTATCTCCTGCCCACACACGGCACTCCTACTCCAACAATCTGCCGTGAGACTGGTCCTGCATTCCAGACCCCTTGGCTTCAGCCACACCCCAGAGCCTGTACCCCCAACTAAAACTCTAATCCCTCCCAACACTAAGCCCTCTCCCACACTCTGAACCCCTTGACCCTATTACCACCACAGATCAGTTATGTGCAGAATGAATTTTGTTATATGCACAAATATGGAGGTGATGTGTCACACATCTCCATGTTTGTGCACATAACATTCTTTGAGGTCAGCAAGCACATGGACAAAGGGAATCCAGTGGAAATAGGTACTTAGATTTCCAGAAAGCCTTTGATAAGGTCACTCACTAAAGGCTCTTAATTAAAATAAGCTGTCATGAAATAAGAGGCAAGGCCCTCTCATGGACTGATAAATGTTAAAAGACAGGAAACAAAGAGTCAGTTTCAGAAAGGAGAGAGGTAACTAGCAGTGTCCCCCAGGGATCTGCACTGGGACTCAGTAGACCATGACCAGGCCAAATGATAGGAAGAGAGACAGTTGAGGAAAAAATGAGGCAGATTATAGGAGTATCTCAAGCACACCCTCACAACTCATACTTCTGATCTCTGCAGTATTTCGTTGGGCTAGGTTGCTCAGGTGAATGAGAGGAGAAAAGGGAGTGGCAACTAAAACTACTGTCCCGTCTCCTTGTAGACCCCTGCTGAGGCTGCCATGGTCTTGGTATTGGGAGTGGCCGGAATTGCTTCCTGGCCAACTGAGGTGTCTGTAACCTCACTGAGCAGAGGATGGCCTGAGTGTCCATCAATCGGTGCAGGTTTGCATCTGTTTGCTCTGCAAAAGAGTCCAGTTTCACCAAACGGGAGATTCTGCATTGAGAACTGCATCTCCTGGGTCCAAAGTCAGGAACTCCACTTCTCAACCACTGCTGAGGCGACTACCCTGGCTTATGAATCTGCTGCATCCCAGGCCATCTAGAGAGAACACAGAGTCACTGCTATTTCCTCAACAAGGGCCCTGAATTCTTAGGACACTTCTTGGGATATGGAGTCCCAAACATTAAAGTTATATCGCCCCAAAAGAGCCTGGTGGGTTGCAACTGTGAATTGGAGACTAACCATGGAATATATTTTCCTTCTGAAAAGGTCCAGTCTCTTGGCTTCCTTATTTTTGGAGATGGAACTAGAGTACCCTTGCTGGTCTTTCTAGATGGCCACTGGAAAAAAAAAGTGACCTTGGGGTGGGAATGAATAAGCATCTGAATCCGTTGGCAAGGACAAAATACTTCTCAGCCCTCTTGGAAGTGGACAGGATTGAAGATAGGGTTTGCCAGAGGGCTTTGGCGATCTTAAGCACCCCTTTGGGCACTGAAAGCATACCATATGCAAGGATAGATGTGCAGAGCATATTAAAAGTGTCTGATTGTGCCACCATATTTAGCCAGGAGCAGGGGAAGCACCATCATGCAGGAAAACCCCCCATAGTCTAGGCATTGGTGGTGATCAAGGAGAGGATCAATGTGAGGATGAGCAGTGCTAATCATATAGTGACTGGCACTTCCCTCTTGGTGAGTCTGGACCAAAAGGGTGGAGACTAGGAGTGCAGTGCGATCTGTGGAGACAAACCAATGACCTGGCCTGATGCAGAGACCAAAGGGGAAGTGACACAGAGCTCTGCCTGAGCTCTAGAGACTGGTGGAGTTCACTTGCCTTCTAGGGGCTTTCATGGCTGGCTTGCCCTTGTAGGGAGCTTTTGTGGGTCCACTGCTGCACACGGTAATGGCTACACTGGGAGATTCCTTTGCTCTCTGGGAAAAAGGGTCCTTTATCCAATGCCCGTTGGTCCATCTTGTTCAATGCTACATCCAACTTTTTTTTTTTAACCCTTTCTTGGGCACTGGCAAAAAGGGTCAGTGCTGGGGTGCACCAACGCCAAAGTGCCACAAGTTTTGCCTGGCCAGGACATCTTCAAGACTGGGTGGAGAGCAGCATCTATGAGAAAGGCCCTCAAATGAATGTCACATTCTTTTTGTGTCCTTGAGTGAAAGTTCTTATATATGCAACACTGTTCTTTGCTGTATGATTTCCCGAGACACCAGGCAGCTAGTAGACATAGGCCTATTACATAATTACGGTCAGTGCTGGGTTCAAAATCCAAGAATATGGCATGCCCTGCCTGGGGCAAAGTCCCCTCCAGCAATCTTAACTAACTACAGTACTTAACTTCTTAAAAACTAAACTACAATAAACAAAACTGCCAGGCAAGGGAGAGAAAGGCACTGACCAACTACCACACTGGTGGCAAGAAGGAACCGAGAGTGTATAAGGCTGGTGGTTAATGATATATTGACATGAGCACAGTATTCCTGAGGGCACCACAGCCAACCCTACAGATAATGCAAAAGCAAAAGTCTCTGACAACTGTGCATGTGGGCATGCACACACTTAGAATGGAAAAAATAGGAGCAAGCACTCAAAGAAGAACTTTACACTTTTACAAAACTAAGAAGCACTTTGTACAAAATATGTGCACAGGAGCAGAGAAAAGACGGCCCAGCACATCATAAATCTAACAAGTCAATTAGGAGTTGAAAAAAGCAGGAAAACTCATATTTCTGTTTCAGTTTATGAAGCTAAATGACTGTAGGAGTGGGGAAGATGAGAAGTTTTAAGAACATTGTACATTTAGTGTTCTGAGGACTTCTCTGTTAGAGTTAACACACTTTAATTTTCAAATTTTAATGACAGCAGTCAGCCGGCAACTCAGAATGTTGCAATTGCAAATGTGAAACATTTATATAACAATTAAGATTTACATTCATAAAACGTAAATGCTATTGTGTTTGTGTGATTTAGTTCTTACTATTCTTAATGTACTGCTGCTGCATCTGCAGCTTCATAGGAGTAATGAATACTATGTATTATTTCCTAAATTAATAAAAGTTATCTAAAAATTACATAAAGTATGCCCTCTTAGCTATTGTAAAATGCTGTACTGAGTTGTAAATTAACGTGTTTTAGTGATCAGATGTGCACCATTGTTTAAGAAGTAAGTATCAGCGGGGCCTCCCCAGCAGCTGGGGTGGAGCAGCGAGAAAGAGCCAGGGCAGGTCAAAGGTGGCGGGGGGAACGAGGGGCAAGAAAGGGCGGTGGTGGGGGGGAGGGAGAGGAGGGAGAAGGAAGTGGAAGAAGAGCAAGAATGAGCCAGGGCCCTGGTGTGGGGAAGTCAAGACCAGGACAGCTTCACCCCTGGACCTTTGCCAGCTGAGAGGGGAGTTAGCAAGAAGGGAGCACAGCCCCCTTGTTATTAAACATGATGATTCTCAAACTGTAGACCAAAAGAAGTCTAGAGAGAGCTTGTTGGTCTGATACTGACTCTCTTTCTTCCTGCCAGCTGCTAAGTTACATTAAAAAAAAACATACCTTAAGGTACAGCTTCTCTAACATTATTTTTTCTATGTAAGCAATCACTGTAGATGTCCCAGGTATGTTACCTGCCTATGGATGGAAGAGAAGCAGTCTACAAAATAACCTCAGTATAACAGCATGCGTCACACTATTAAATTTTTTAGAAGTCCAGCAGAAAATCCTCGCTTGTACTTCTGTCTAGATACTTAACTGACTTCCTACCCACTTCATCACTGTGCCACGACCATATTTTAGAGTTCTAGGTTTAAGAGCTAATCATCCAACCCAACCAGACACTAAGGCTACATCTATACTGGCATGATTTTCCACAAATGCTTTTAACGGAAAAGTTTTCCGTTAAACGCATTTGCGGAAAAGAGAGTCTAAATTGGCACAGATGCTTTTCCACAAAAGCACTTTTTGCGGAAAAGCATCCGTGCCAATCTAGATGTGGTTTTGCACAAGAAAGCCCCAATAGCCATTTTCGCGATTGGGGATTTTTTGAGCAAAACAATACTGCGTTGTCTACATTGGCCCTCTTGCGCAAAAGCATTTGCGCGAGAGGGCTTTTGCCCGAATGGGAGCAGCATAGCATTTCTGCAAGAAGCACTGATTTCAGACAGTAGAAAGTCAGTGCTCTTGCGGAAATTCAAGCGGCCAGTGTAGACAGCTGGCAAGTTTTTCCGCAAAAGCAGCAGGTTTTGCGGAAAAACTTGCCAGTCTAGACGCAGCCTAAGGGTACATCTACACTACGTGCCTTTTTCGACAGAAGCTTTTTCGAAAGTATCTTTCGAAAAAACCTCTTTCGAAAAAGAGCGTTTAGATTACACTAAGCGGATCGAAAAAGCGATCCACTTTTTCGAAAAAGAGCATCCAGATTGCCTGGACACTCTGCCAAAAAAAAAAGGGCACCTGGAAGCACTTCTGCCAGGGTATGGGGGCAGCCTTTTCTTCCGGGTCCTGCAGCATGCTCTTTGCAGAGACATGTGCTTCAAGGGATCCCCCTGAAGAGCCACTGCTCTGCTCCTGCAGCTGGCTTGCCTACCTCCAATAGCGACAGCAAAACTGCTGCAGTGCTTGCTTTGAGTGACCTGCTTTGTGGGACACCATGGCATTTTGTTTCCTGGTTGGTTTTTGTGCTTTCAATTGTTTTTTTGCCATGGAGCTACAGCTGCTCCTGGGCAAGCGATGGCCCCACACTGATGCTGGAAGTTCTGCTGCATGTTCATGAGACCATCATCATGAATGAGCTGAATTCAGAGCCCAGCTTTGAGCCCCTCACTCGAGCTGCAGCCCCTCTGCCCTTGCCACACTGAGGAGCTCTGCATGTCCTTGTTGTTAGACCAGAATATTCGCAGGCCTAACCCTTGGAATCTATTTCTGACACATCTTACTATTTTATGTTGAACAGTTTACTTTAACATTTTGGGATTATTTTACTAAAGATTTTTAACAGTTGTAAATAACTAAACCAAGTGCAATGGAGAATTCAACCTTTAATGTCTGAGTTTCTCCATTGCTAAAGTAGAAATAATACTTATATTTCTATATTTCACAGTCAACCTGTGGAACTCCAGGGGATGCAGTGAAGGCTAGAACATTAAAAGGGTTCAAAAAAGAGCTAAATCAATTCATGGAGTTAGGTCCATTAATGGATTTGAAGTGTGAGAGGGGCTCTGATCTTAGCTTGGGGTAGGCAGTTGGGGTGCAGGAGAGGTTACGGGATACAGGATGTATCCCAGAAAAGGACATCAGTTTGGTGTGGGGAGGTCTGCTCTTTGCAATTTCGAATGCCTACATTAGCCTCCCTAGTTCGAACTAGGGGGCTAGTGTAGACATACACTAACTTATTCCTGGAGAGGTGAGTTTGGAGGCTGGATACCACTTCAGACTGGTGGAACCATCTTGTTAGGGAGCAGTGTGATGACAACACTTGGCTTCAAAACTTCCGTATGTGGAAGTCCACATTCCAGAAGCTGTGTGCCTGGCTCGTCCTGCGCTACAATGCCAGGACACCCACTTGCAGCCCTCCATCCCCCTGGAGAAGCGAGTCGCTATTGCTCTGTGGAAGCTGGCCACCCCTGACAGCTACTGCTTGGTGGGACATCAGTTTGGTGTGGGGAGGTCTGCTCTTGGGGCCATCTTTATGGAGGTAAGTCACTCTCTGGGGACAGTTCAGGGAGGGGGGGTGGCTCGCCCCTGCCCTACAATGCCAGGACACCCACTTGCAGCCCAACATCCCCCTGGAGAAACGGGTCGCTATTGCCCTCTGGAAGCTGGCCACCCCTGATACCTACTGCTCGGTGGACACCAGTTTGGTGTGGGAAGGTCTATTGTTGGGGGCATCTTGATGGAGGTAAGTCACTCTCTGGGGACAGTCCATTGGGGTGGGGTGGGAAGACAAGGGGGATGGGGGGTGAGAGAAGGGGGGGAGAGGGGATGGGGTGGGAGTGGTAGAAGCCCTCCTGGCCTCACCCTGCAGTGGTGCGGGGGGTGGGAGGAGACTTGGGGTCTGGGAGGGGAGAGGTAGCACCTTTCATCAGCTCAGGCAACTCCTCTAATTTCCTGTTGTCTGTGTTTCTATTTGTTCCTTTCTGCAAGTGGTGACGGCCATCAAATCGGAGCTGCTTCACAAGACTGTCCGCCTTGGAGACCTGGATACCATCGTGGCTGGATTTGCGGGGCTAGGATTTCCGAACTGTGGTGGAGCACGCAATGGGACTCGCATCCTGATCTGCACCACACCGCTCCATCCAGCAGCCCAGTATATTAACAGAAAGGGCGACTTTCCCATGGTGCTGCAGGCCCTGGTCGACCACCGGGGACAATTCACAGACATTTGTGTCGGGTGATGAGGCCGGGCACACAATGCCTGCATCTTCCGGAACTCATACCTGTACCACAGGCTGGAACATTCTTTCCGGAGCGAAACTTTGTAGCAGGGAATATGCAGATTCCTATGTGCATCATGGCCAACGCGGCATACTCCCTTATGCCCTGGCTCATGAAGCCGTTCACTGGACAACTATATGTGAGCAAGATATCACCTGAACTGGGCTCGCTTCCAGGTAGAGTGCTCCTTTGGTCATCTGAAGGGCAGGTTTAGAAGCCTGCTCACTCGGCTGGACATGGGGGAATGCAACATCCCCGAAGTGGTTGCTGCCTGTTGTGTGCTGCACAGCCTGCTTTCCTCCCGGGGGGGAAACACGGGCTGATGTGGAGGGGAGGCAGTTTGAGCAGCCCCGGACAGCTGCCATCTGCCAAGCCCACCAGCTGGGATTGCGCATTTGGCAAGCTCTGACAGAGAGATTCTCTCAAGAAGCCCAAGGAGTTTCCCCGGGGCCTTCCAAATGTGGGAGTGCCCCATGCCCCCAGTGCCTTCCCCCCCAAAACTCATCCCTGCCCCACGTTGTACACATTCACAGGAGAACAGAGACAGGTGTGCTTGACAAAATGCTTAGTTTATTGCACTGTGGTATGTTACAAAACCTATATAATTGTTTTGTAAAGAAAAATAAACTTTTTGTTAACGAAGTAAAGTGCTTCCCTTGCTGAGTCTCATGGGTGGAAGGAGGATGTAAACCTGGAAGAGGAAAGGGAGGCTCAGGGTGCCACCTGGACGAAGAGCTCCTGCCACCTTGGGTGTGGGAGCCTGCTCAGAGATGGCCATGCATGTGGACTGGGACAGCAGGGGGTTGGGCAGGAGGTGGGGCTGCACCTGGATCTGGAATGGGGAGGAGCGGGGGTGGGGAAGGCAGGTTGAGCAGGAATAGGCACAGGACCGGGGAAGGCCATCACCTCCCAGATAGCAGCGCAAATTGCAATGTGCTGCTGGACAAACTTGTCCAGCAAGCAACTGCACCACTCTGCCTCCATCCTCTGTGTGATTCTCTCCTGCATCCCTTGCAGGACTGAGATGTGCTGTCACATCAGGTCCAAGTATGTGTGCCAGTGCCGACGGGTTCCATGCAGCCGTCTGGGTGGTGGGACAGGCGTGGCACTCCCCTCCTGGACAGCTGGTCCAGCTGTGAAGGACAAGAGGGAAAAGTCATCAGTCATGCATGCTCACACTTTCCCTGAAAGGGCATGCCCTCCTTCTCAGCAGTCAGTGCCTGTCCAAGGGTCAGGATATGCTCATGTGGTCTCAGCATGGCAGGTGTGGCCTGGCCAGCAGCCACAGCCTTCCTGGAGCCTAGTAGGTGTGCAGGCCACCAACCTGCATTCCCCCCCCCCACACACACACACGCACGCACCATGGCCAAGCAGCACAGGCAAGTGTCAGGCCACAGTTGGGGTTCCCACAGGTTGCTGAGAGGCCTGATGCTGTGTGGTAATCCCAGAGTCCCAAAGCCATGCCTGAACTTGGCATCACTGTCTGCAGGAGCAGATGGTGCCTCGCACCCATGCTGGTGCAGGGGTAGGATGGCTCTCCCTGTGGTCGGCCATGTGTGGGGGGGCCCCCCAGGCTGTGATCAGCATGACACGTCACAGTACTGCACCATCCACTTTGCTTCTGCCTCCCCCGCCCTGTGCGTGTTGGACCCTCACAGCATTCACCTGATGTTCCCTCCCCGATGTCTGAAGCTATCTGGGAGGCCTCCTGCATCTAGGTGTTCGGCTCCAGGGTGAGAGTCACTGTGCGTGCCTGGTGTCGTCCTCCTCCTCCTCGTCTTAGAGCTGCTGATCCTCTGGGTGTCATCCTGGAGCTGCGGCTGCTGCTGCACAGGGGTCTCCATCCCAGACTCCACAACCTTCTTGGGAGACGGGGTTCCCTGCCCCCAGGATCCAGTCCAGGTCCTCATAATATGCACAGCAGTGTGCTGTTTCCCCAGAGTGGGAGCTATGCTCACAGGCCTTAACATATCCCTGCCGCAGCTCCTTCACCTTTGCTCTGACCTGGTCTAGGGTGCGGAGGTGGTGGCCTTTTTTGGCAAGAACATCAGCCATTCTGCCATAAATGTCCACATTCCTCCTCCTGGACTGTGGGGCCTGAAGAGACTCCTCCTCAGACCAGCACTCTAAGAAGGCTTTGATCTCAGGCACAGACCAGGAGGATACCTGGCATTTGGTGCCCCTGGCTTGCTGCGGGGATGTATCCCTGGAAAGGCGAGGGGGGGCCTCGGGAGGCTTGTCTCAGGAGGCTTGTCCACAGCCTTCCAGCAAGAGCCAAGCAGCCAGGGTCCTAGTTGGAGCTGGCTTGCTGCCACAATGCTACTCCTGGGTGCCTGTGCCTTTAAAAGATGGCTACAGGCAGGAACAATAGAAGTGAAAGGTCTGGCAGGAGTGTCCACCAGGGCTTCTTCCTGGAGGCCTTTATTTTCAGGTTTACCGCCATTGACAAAACCGCCGTGTTCTTTCGATTTACTGTTGACAGAACGTGGCAGCGATCTAGATGCAGGTAAAGATTTTTTGAAAAAAAAAAAAAAAGGCTATTTTCGAAAAATCTCTGTAGTCTAGACACACCCTAAGTGATATTCTTGTTTGCATCTGTAATAATCCTGTGCTTCATGTTAGCATGCCTTTACTTAAAAATAAAAAAAAATAAAAAAAGAGGGATAGAAAAAAAGATATGGCTTGAAATTCCAGCACCAACAGTGTACTATCAAGTTCTTGGACTAGAAAATTCCGTTCTAGAAACCCTACTAAAATCAACTGTGGAAAATGAGGACCCTGTATACAGTTCTTAATGTCTCAGGATTTCCAAAGAATGGATGTGCAATATTATTTTCCCTTTAAAATAAATATAATATAATGGGAAATGCTACCAAAATGGTAGGAAGTCAAACAAGAACAGATGCTTGCTTCCAATTGGCCTCGTCTCATTATGATGTAGAAACAGAACAGAAGCAAATCACTTACTGGTTATCACAGTCACTTTCTTTGCGCTTTTTTGGAAACTCAACTGCAAATGTATTGAATGAGCATGAAGTGGTAGGCTTGGTTATTGTGTTAATAAGGGTGGAGAGTTCAGGGGCAACACATCGGTTCCCTTCCATCACAAGATTATCTGTTAAAAAAAAAAGAAAGCAGAAGAGTATTATTTGTTCATTTCAGTCTTAAAAAGTGCACAGTTACACTTTCACATCTCTAGTTCAAATGAAAGTCTGTAACAATTTTTGATAGAAATTAGGATGATGCCTTTTCTTTTTTCCAGATTGACAGAAAACCTATATATGTTATGTTCTAAGCCCCACCTTCTTGGAGAGGTAATTTCAACTAAAACTACCATTTCACAGTGAGAGAAATAATGAGGAGCAGCTGGGGCTAACTTTCGAACCAATGGCAAGCAGTGCAGACAGAACTAATTTAAGGTGCCACACAAGATCCCACATTTATAGGTGGAAACATCTTAGTCAGACCCTTCCAACACTTTACAACCATATTATCTACTAGAGGGTGAGGTATGGATTTTCAAACAGCCCTAATTACATTATAGTCCTTAATTTCATGTGAACATATTTTTCTAGATGAATTTAGCCTAACTCAAAGCACAAGATTGAAGTACATGGGGGAGAAATAAAAATTACAAAGTCAATTGTAAATCTTCCATTTCCTTACTTTTGAGTTGAGTTTGCAATCTCAAAAATTTATGTTTGACAGCAGTGGTTTGCTTTTTTTGGCATTTGGGTTTATTCACATTTTCTCATGGCTTTCATTTATAGCAGAGAAGGCTATGGGAAAAGTGAATTTTTTCTACATTTTATCCTAATGATGAAAATTTCAGTATCAATATATGATGACTTTAAATGCTAACATGTGCAAATCTTAAATTAAATCAATTTCCAAAGATTTATTTTTAGCACTGCACTCAAACACCATTTTTTAAAAATACCATTAATTTACAGATCCAAAATTTAGTTTTATAGACATAAACACAAAAAATCCTGATAGTATTTTTACAGCACTTGGACTTACTGTGCTGAATAAAAAAGGAATTACATATTTATATCAGGACAGACTAATGAACTAGGCTTGTCTAGCTATTATAGTAGAACAATCAAAGAAGGAAGGTGAACAAACTGAAATCCACGATTTGTCCCAACAGATTTACTTCTGTGATTGCATTCTCAACTTATGTTCTCAAATTGCCTTGAAGAGGAATTTTCTTTCCATTCTGTACTGCTTAAATGTTTCCAATTAATCTAAAAAAAAACCCTACTAGCCTCCGGCATTCATTTCACATTTCCATCTACCATAATTCTTTTACGATTCACTGTAATTGATATGCTGTCACGCTCCTTGTCTGACTTATCAAAGCACTACCTAGGTGGTGCTCATGAAGATTTAATTACTAAACTAAAGGAGCTATCTTTGACAATCTCGTTTCAACCTATCACTACAGGGTTTTACCTAAGGTTAAGAAAAAGGGGAATTGAGGATTAAGTTCTAAACAGTAAGTCAAAGAAAATACATCTAAATGGGATGATCTGTAACCAGGTCATGCCATCATATTGCAGGACTAGCTATTTTAAATTTATATAAGAAATCATGAATGTTGCAGTCATTATTCATTTTATTATTCATTGTACCCCTAAGTCTTTGAAAACAAAGGCTATTTTTCTTCTTTCTAGGTGAACTTGCCCTATGGACTGTTCAGTTCCAAGCATCGCTTCAAAGCAGACGGGTATCAGACGTAGCCGATCTTCAAACCTAGGTAGAAAAGTCCTGCTGATAGGTGAAGGTTGTTTTGAAAATGCTATCTTATACTCATTGAGGGAATTGGTCTGAGTGTGCTACTAAGGATTAAAACTAGTTATTTGAACAAGCTTTTTTCCATACAAAAACCATATGAAATGTGGACAAAAGATTCCTTCAGGTAAGCAATACATGTAGGATACACCAATGACAGACTCAGAAAACAACATAGACCTGCATAACAAAAAATATTTTAAACTGCTCTTCACTAGACTCCCATATATTTCTCTTGCTTTACTCACTGATGTAAACAATTACCATAGTACACTGTCCTTGGTTCTTTACGGCATTGATTGTGTATAGAATAATACAGTAAAACTCCATTGGTCCGGCATCTGACGGTCCGGCACCATCAGGAACCCGGAAGTGCTCTGCAGCTGGACCATTGGAGCTGCTCTGCCCCCAGCTTTCTCTATTCAGCCGCTGCTAAAACTGGCCAGCGGCTGAATCGGAGAAGCCGGGGGCAGAGCAGGTACCAACCCAGCAGCGCCCCAGCTGCTCTGTCCCAGGAGTCCAGATTCAGCTGCTGTTGAAACTGATCAGGGGCTGATTCCAGGAAGCCCAGGGAAGAGCAGCTCTGCCTCGGGCTTCCTGGAGTCAGCCCCTGATCAGTATCAGCAGCGGCTGACTTGGGGACACCTGGCGCAGAGCAGCTGGGGTGCTGCCGGGTTGGTCTTGCTGCGCCAAGGGTCGGCGCGGTGCGGGACCAACCCAGCAGCACCCCAGCAGCAGCGTCCCCAAGAGCAGCTGGGGTGCTGCCTGGTTGGTCTCTCCATGCCAAGGGTCGGCGTTACCCCGACCAACCCGGCAGCACTCCAGCTGCTCTGCCCCAGGCGTCCCTGATTAAGCCGCTGCTGAAACTGACCAGCAGTGGCTGAATCGGAGACGCCTGGGGCAGAGCTGGACTATCGGAAGGGGGGGCTATGAGGGGTCTGGGGTGGCACCTCCCCCCCGCACCCCAGACCCCTCACAGCCCTCCCCTTCCGATAGTCCGGCATATCTGATAATCCAGCACCCCCTGGGCCCCAAAGGTGCCGGATTATCGGAAGTTTACTGTAGAATGATATAAACTTGATAGCTTTAAAAGCCATAGATTCTGATTCTGCAAACTGTGCTTGTGTAGGCTGACTTTTACATCTCTGTGGAGCCCCCCCCTGACTTTAATGGAGCTCCAGACGAGCACAAGGGTTTGCCTTCATAGAGGCTCCTAACTATTCTATACAGCTTCTAGGCCAGGCCTGTACAACATACAGCTCGCGGGCTGCATGCAGCCAGAAGGGGCGCACAGTGCGGCCCACAACAACTTTAGGAAGTAATATTTCCCCCCTCCTTTCTTCCGCTCTCCTCTACTCCCCTTTTGAATGCGGCACTCTCTTGTGCCGGCGCTTCTTCCCCTGACGTCAGGGACACATGCACGCTCTGGCCCAGTCCTATGCCTGCGTGCGGCCCTGCCCCAGCTTCCAGCTCCCGTCCTGGCAGGGCAGCCGCTTGCACGGCGTATACTGCTGTCAGAACACCATGCTCCTCATGCAGCATGGGGGTCAGCACTGTTGGAGTGTGGGGTGGGTAGCCCTCACCGCTGCAGGGTGGCCCCACCCTGTCACAGCTCGCCAGCTGGTAAAATCTACACTCCGTCGATATTATAACTTGTATCAGAGGGAACAAATTTTGCACAGTGAGATATTTCTTCTCTGTGTGTGTGACTGAGTCTTTCCTTGTGTGTGAATTTATTCAACAAAATCTTGAGCTTTCAACAAAATCTTTGGTTGCGTGCTGAAGCCGGGCAACGTGTGGGGTTTTTTTTTTTTTTTTTGTATGCCCGACACGCGTGGGTTTTTTAAAAAATTTTTTGGCTCAACAAAAATTTTTTGCCCGCGTGTTCGGTATTTTTTAGGAGAGCATCTGGCAACCCTACTTGCAGTCCACAGCTGTTGTCTTGGAGTAATATGGCCCTCACCTCTTTCTGAGTTGTGCAGGCCTGTTCTAGACCAGGGGTGGGTAAGAGGGTGCCAGTGGGCCAGATTTGGCTACTAAGCCACTGGATCTGACCTGCGGCTGCCACGCTAGAACCCTGAGGCAGAGAACAGCTCATGGTATAAACAGCCAGTTGCTTTATGTTCTGGACAGCTGGCGAGAGAGGAAGGAGCCTTCACATGCTGCCTCTGCTCCCCCCAGCAATGATGCTTCTGTTCTCCGGCACTGCTTTGATCAGTTTAAAATAGGGATGGTAGTGGGTAATAGAATAATTGACTAATTGCATGAATTCTTAACAGTTAGTCAACTATTCCATAGTCCCCCATGAGCAGGGCTGGCAATGAGTTCAATCGGGCCCCACTCCCAGGGAACCTCCTGCCACTCTGCACTGCTGCCTACATAGCCAATTTAAAACTGGCTCCCCTCGCAGACCGGCAGCCTGCTGCCCCACACTTGTTCCAGAGGCAGCAGTGTGGGGTGGCAGCAGCCCCTGTCTGTGGGAGTCAGAGCTCCCCATGAACAGAGACTGCTGGGGAAGAGTGGGAGCAGTGGAGGCTGCCACAAAACAGCCTCTGTCAAGCAGCTTGTCAAGCAGCAGTCCCAAGCTCACTGCAGATAGAATCTGCCCTGCAGGATGTGGAGCAGCCTCTGTCCTTGGGGAGCTCAGACCCACTGTGGACAGAGGCTGCTGCCGCAAAGCAACCTCTGCCCGCAGCAGGCCCAGGCTCGGCACAGACAGAGGCTGCTCTGCATCCAGTGGAGCCCGTTCTGTCCACAGCAAGCCTGGGCCCACCATGCACAGGGGTTGCTGCCACAAAGCAGCCTCCCCTGGCTCTCCTTCTCTGCTCCCTTGATTAGTCAATGGGGGGAGGGGGTGCTTGCTACCCCCACTGCTCCTCTGCCTTTTAAATGTAGTAAGAACCCAGTTGCTCTTACTACATTTAAAACGCAGAGGCACAGCAGTCAGGACCCAGTGTGAGCGTGGACTGAAGCTCGTGTCGGGTTCCCCACTGCGCCTCTGCCTGCCCTCTTCCCCACCCCCATCCCAACTGCGGAGGTGGTACTGGGGGGAACCAGCTTTTAAGCTGACTCTCCCCAGTAGTGGCTCCTGCTTTCCCCCCAGCCCTTGCTGTCTCTAATATGAGGCAGCTGGGCAGGGGGGAAAACGCGAGTAGTCAACTACTCGACTACTCTTTTACATTCCTACTAGGAATAATGTTAATAAAAAGACCTACGGCAGAATATAATGTCTGTGTTTCTACCCTGGATAGCAACTAATGTAGATGGACAAGAAAAGAGTTAATAGACTGCAATCAAGAGTAGCAGGCTTTAGGCAGTTATAACACAGCCACGGTTTGTGAGGAATGATATAAAGCAACATGGATATTAATGATCATGAAGTGTTTCAAATCTTATCTTCACTTTGAAATATTTGTAACCTATTTCACAATTGACAATACTGCCTCTGTGTCTAATATTAATTCTGAATTTCAACATTTTTCTGGATTAAATCTTCCCAGCACATTTCATTTCCAGTATCTTTTTCAAAGAAAAATGACTATGTGGGAAATTAATTAAACCTTACAATCCATAAAGGAGCATATCTGAAGAGCACCTGTACTTGAGTCATGTTTACACATTAAATATTAATAATTAAATCTACATAACTCAGTTTTTTAGAAAAATCTTGTGGGGTACATATTACTGAAGGGTACCAAATAGGGATGTGAATGGGTAACCAGTTAACAGGTTACCTAGTAAGCATCACACTTAATGAATGATACTTACCAGGTACAGTAGAGTCCGGATTATCCTACCTTCACTAATCTGACATTCTGCTTTATCCGACATAGCTGGCTCCTGAAAGCAAAACTAAAACCCCACGCTGCCCCCAGACCTGGCCCATTTCTCCTTCCCCAGCTACTGACATCCCTGCTGCTGCTGCTGCTCCTGCCGGCGCCGCTCAGTCCCCATTCCTGCCTGGCCAATTTCCTCCCTGAAGCCCCTGGACGTGGGCCGGGAGAATGGCCCCGCTCACTACCCCGTCGCTCTGGGGGCTGCAGGGAGGGAAGGGGCCAGGCAGGAATGGGGACCGAGTGGCGCTGGCAAAAGCAGCAGCGCCCAGAACGACGAGGCAGTGAGCAGGGCCATTCTCCCCGCCCGTGCTGGAGGGAGGGAAGGGGCTAGGCCACTTGAATCAACTACTGTACAGGTAATCCCTATTATCCGACATTTTTGTTAATCCAACCACCTGTCGGTCCTGTTTAGGTCAGATAATAGGGACTCTACTGTAATGGTTAACTATTACCCAGGGTAGCCTGTGCCACTCCAACCTGGTTGTGACAATGGGCGAGGTGGTAGAATTGCTCCAACCCAGCAGGCTGGAACTGCCCCCTACCTCCTTCCCACCTCCATTTAATCAGTTAACTGTTTAAACTTAACATTTAACTGTTAATTATTTAAACAGGATTTTACATCCATAGTACCAACCTTATGTGTACACTGAACAAACAAAACTCTGAGTGAATGAAGATTAGATTCCTTTCAGTACAGCAGATCCTTTCATATAGTAACAAAATCTAAATAGTCTTTTGTACAAACTAAGATAGCCAACCTGTTTTATAAACAACTTCATAAATAAACAGAAAATAATTTAATGGCATGGCTGGTCACTTACAATGGTACAAATTTTCCTCCAAGCATAATAAGATCAAAACTTGAATATTTTTCTTAAATAAAAAATAACTCTGATGCACTGTGAAAACTACACCAATTTTTTCCCTTTCAAAACACCACCTACCTTTTTTTAAATAAACTGTAGTATTAAGGAATACTGGCCATGGACCGGGGCTGCTGCCTGAGCAGCTTCTGGTCGCTGCAAACAGGGAGGGGTTGCTTGGTGGCAACAGCCCCCATCCATGGAGGCACCCAGCACCCCGCTGGGACCCCTGCAGACAGGGGCTGCTTCGCAGCAATGTCCCCTATCTGCCTCCGATAGATACAGCGGCAGGGGGGCAGGTGGCACCCCAGAAACAGTGCTGAGGGGAACTGGCTTTTAAGCTGGCTCCTCCCAACATAGGCTCTCTGCTTGCTGCCTCTCTGACAGAGGCAACAAGGGGGGAGGGGAGTGAGAGAGGAACAACTAGTCGAGTCGCTACTCAACTATCCCATAAGCATTTGCTTATCAGTTGACTAGTCACTAACATCTCTATTTGGAGTGTAATAAAATAATAACACTGTAACAAAGTAAGTGCATTTAAATTCTGTCTGACATTTTTCATATTCTATAAATAGGGCATACACTGAAAATTTCTCATCCTTGTGTAGTTACTCCCTCCTTTGCAATACTATTGCTGTCATTAAGGTCCTGTCAGCATTTCACTCTTATAATTTAGAAATGAAAAGGCATTTTCATGTTAATCCTTTTTTAAGGGGGGAGGGGCGAAGAGGGAGGGTGCGGCTGGTAGGGGAAATTATCCAGAACTCTCTCATACTAGTTCTTAGTCCAGAGGTGAATTTTGTTGGGTATGTTTGAAGAAAATTCTATCAGCAATTTGAATCATCATAGCATAAAATGATGGTTTTTTCATGCTTAAGTAAACTATTCAGATATTTTTTATGCTCAGATTTATCCAAAATATTTTTAGTAGCTCAGACCTAACAGTCAGAGATTTCAGCAAGGAAATCAAGCTTTGACAAGTTTGAAAAAGTCTGGATAAGAAATAAGTTAGAAATTATTGTAATACGTGATTGGACAGTTCTTCACCAATGAAATGGCCCAAGCTTGTAAAACCTACATAGCTCATTGCCTTCAGGATTTTCATATAGTGTATACTCACACAGAGGTAAGCAATGACTCATATATAAACCTAAACACTCACAAACAGAAAATGCTTTAAAGTCTTCTTTGCCTCCTCAATCACTTCCAGGTGCAACTGTGGGATAGGGATGTTAGCTAACAGAACAGTCGACTAAACACATGAATTCTTAATGGTTAGTCAACCATTCTATGATCCCCGGAGGCAGGGCCAGCAGCCAGTGCAGTCTGGCTCCACTCCCAGGGAGCCCCCTGCCATCGTGTCCTGAAATCTCTGTATCAGAGGCAGCAGTGCAGGGTTTCAGGCAGGAGCTGATCCATGAGGGGAGCCAGCTTAAAAAGCAGCTCCCTGGGCAGACTGGCTCCCTGCTACCCTGCCCTACTGTGATTATACGTATAAGAAGAACATGGGATCTTTTTCAGGGGAAAAGGCAATACACCACATTTATTGAGAATACAGTAGAAAAACAGTTAGCATATGCTTCATAAAGACATGCCCTCCCCCCACACACAGTCTTATCACTGCTTAAAATTACCAGTTTGTTGCTCACATTAACGTACTGTCCAGGCAAGTTAAGTGGGAGGGAAAGGAGCAGGAGCTTCTCTTGATCTGGACCAATGCTTTGATTTGACAAGATGAGACCCAGAGATTCCTGCAAGACATCCCATCTTTTATAGGACTTTTCTCCCATTCAGGTTTATACATTTTGCATCCTCAGCTATCAATCAATCACCATTTTGACATCTGTTTATCTGGAAGTCATTCTTCTTTGCCATCTGACATCAATATGTTGGTGCTTCCTTCCCAGTGTTTATTTCAAGGCTAGCTTGTTTGTAAAAGGGTGCTTGCTTCTTAATACTTCAAGGCCATCCATATGTCTTCCATTGGTCTGCGTCATATTGGGCTTCAATTTACCATACCTTGACACCTCTGAGTCTTCCAGTCCCTTCCCCTCTTCTACCATCTGAACTCTGAAATTGCTGGACCTACAAATTGTGTTCTCTCCAAATAATCACATTCCAAACTCATTCACTCTGCCTCCCCAAGAACTACACATTTCAAAGATGGGAAAAAGGGATACAATTGTCCATACCAGAGGTATCAATCTATTTTCAATACAAAACTTCTGCTAATACAAACTTTTAATTCATTCATCATATTTTTTTTATAACATAATATATATTCTAATTACTCCTAAGAGCATCAATGTAACCATGCTGAATAACAAGGCTCCTTCTGATCTCTTTCTGTCTTGACATCAGATACAATAATCACAAGCTGTTTTTGCCTGATGCATCTTTATTAAGGACCTAGAAGACTCTTCTTCCCTGATAACCAGAGAAAGGTGGCCAGCAGAGTTATAGTTGTTTAACATTCATTCTCAAACTACCTATTAAGCACATTACATAAAACATTATAAAACCCTGTGGTCTACATTGCCTCTGAAACAGAGGCAGCAGCTCTGTCTGTGCAGATGGAGGCCGCTCCAGTGCTAGCTCCCATCCAATGGGACCCTCTGCTGACAGGGGCTGCTGCCATGAAGCAATCTGTGTCCATGGCCAACCCGGGTGGACGCGGGCAGAGGCTGCATCGCCACAGCAACTCCTGTCTGTGGGGGCTCCCAGTGCACAGGAGTCTGGCCACCCCAGGCCGCCATGGACAGAGGCAGCAGCATGGTGGGGGTTGGGAAGCTGGGGATGCCACGGAGACAGTCCTGGGGGGGAAAAAAAATCAGCTTTTAAGCCAAGTCCCCCACAGCACCGCCTCCTGCTCCCCCACCCCCACTGCCTCGGATATAGGGGAACATCCAAACAGTCAACTAGATTAACAGATAAGCCTAGATTTATCGGTTATTCAACTAGTCAACTACTCACTTACATCCCTACTCTGGGAAAGCTACAAAGAATTGCACAGTTTGGAGCCAAACTGAGAAAACACCTGTCCTGAACATCCCGTTAGGCAGTTAGGAAAACTGATGTTAGCTGTTCTTTTGCAAATCCTACATATCAATGACTATAGGCAAAACCCTGGTTCTACTGAAGCCAATGTCAAAATTCCTGGACCTACTGAAATCAACAGAATTTTGACCAGGAAGTTTTCAGTAGTATATCCTTTGGCTCTTGGTTTTCCCCAATGGTCCTTGTTTTCCCATGGTTTTGCATATGTGCGCACGCACACACACACACCTTTATATTCCCACTTGTAGCTCACTTTGCATGTGTGTCTTAATATCAAAAATCTAATTTTAGTTTTTTTCTTAATTCATACAAGTGCACTAATAATGTGCAAGGGTAAATTTAAAAATAAGAAAAAAGTTTGGTCTCAACCTAGTCCAATTTTAGGATTAAAAAGTTTACGGTCTTTCACACAGTTATTTATAACTTAATAGTAGAAGTAAACAACTTCTACTGTAATTGGTCTAACATCTTAAAGAACCAATGTGAAAAAGTATCAGGAATCTGATAGTGGAAACTGAAAACAGTAAGAAGCAAGTTACTATAAAATATGTGACAGTATGATTAACTATCTTTCCTATGGATGCTGCTCAGTGAGGGTGGGGGTAAGGTGAAGAGCAGTATAAATCCAGTGTTTTGAGAGTTTTTTTTGTTTCCTCCTTTTCTTACAAGAGGTACACAGAGTAGGGAGTGACTCAAATACATTTCCTCCTTTTGAAATGATTTTCATTGAAGCATCAAGGTAAAAAATAAACCCCACATGCTTCAAAAACAAAAATCAGCTTCAAAATCGCACCTGCATTTAAATAAACAAATGCTGTCTAGCTTCCATAAACCAAGAGACAAACAGGGGGAAAAAACCGATGACCTATTTTTAAGTGACTAGAATTCTCTCACACACACACAGCCCAAAATATCAAAAGACTTAGCATGAACATAACAAACTACAAGTGACATTTGGAATGGTAAATCGCTCACCCTTCTCAAAGTCAGACACAAAGCATCTATTTCTTTCCTCAGATGAAAATCAGGGAAGGAAGCAACATATACATTTTAAAGCAGAAAAAGACCAAACTGCTGTGAATTTTGAATCTCACTCAGCTCCTGAGAGTCATGGTTGAGAACAAACAACATTAAACCTATTCTCACACACAACAGAAATATCACACTTAAGATAGTTTAAACTAGTGCACATCAAAAAGCTAATACCTCATGGTAGAAGCCCATGATACCATCTACATGTTTTATTAGTGTTTAAAGTGCTGCTAGACTATTTGTTAAGTTTTTCCACTTACAGACTAACTCGGCCACCCCTCTGAAGCTTTTGGATATATTACACACATACTCTATATAAAGGAAAATAATGTAGATCAGAAAGCGTAGATCAACCGCTAAATTTAAAAAAAAAAACCAATACATTACAAATGAGAAAAAAGGCAGTTAGTCTAGTTCATCTGAATACAGGTGTCTACAACAGCAATAATAAATCAGATCAGTGTGTGACTATTTAGCATAAAACCTGCGTGTGGGTGTATAGGATGAATAATAAAACAGAATTCAATGCTGCAAATGCTTCCTCATCTATGACTTCAAAAACACTGCATGGGCAAGTGAGGAGCTGGCAGGATCTCAGGGCCAGAGAGTGGTTATTAAGCCTGGGAAAAAGCAGGCTTCTGAATATAGTGGAAGGGGAATACAATCCAGTGTATTTTTCAAGGAAAGTGGGGTGATATTGGGATAACCTATTGGGAAAAATCAGGCACAAAGATACAGATGGGGCACAGCACCCAGGATAAAAGAAAGACACACCGCCTACGTGTGTATTTGTGTATCCCAGTACAGAAGTACACCCAGGACACAATGCAGACACACACACAACCGCCCAGGATAACACACCCAGAAAAAGTATGTTTATGTACAGACACACACACACACACGGGAATGCACAACTTCCCAAGACGCACGCGCTTGCACAACCCCCTCCAGACACCCACGCACGGGAATGCACAACCGCCCCCCCCACACACACACACGGATGGACAGACAGACAAGGCAGGCGCTCCCTAGCCTGGCACAGGGCAACCGGTCTGTCGGTCTGTCTGTCTGTCGGTCGGACAGCCCCAGCTCCCCCCCCC